CTAGCTGACCGAACCATTTCATTCCTTGTCGATCAATATAATCTGAACATTGTCGTATCCCTACTGTCTCTCTAATGCTGGTATTCGTAACCATGTCTCGTCTGGTGTTGCTGGTGACCTTGCGAAGACAGCGCATTTCACATGTAGTTGTATTCTGTTCTAGTGCCCTATTCATTGTCCATGTTTGGCACTGATAACATGATTTAGGGAAAAACATTGCTATAAATCGTTAGCTGTTATTCTGGAAGGGAAACATCTGGGTGTCTAAGCAATGGGGCTAACCGGTGGCAGCACTTGCCTTCTGTATTCTGGATTCTCTCATCGAGTCCACCATCCTCCGAAAATATGCTTCCTAGATTTTTGAATTCTCGAACTTGTTTCATTGTAGTCCCGTTAACGTGGACGTTCATGGTGTTATGTTTCCTGGCTATCACCATCACCTCAGTTTTCGTGGTGTTTATTCTCTTGTCATACTTTGTTCACATTTGATTTAAGGAGTCAACATGGTGTTGTAAATTCTGTTGTTTGTGGTGTATTAGACATTGATCATCTGCAAAAAGAGGTTCATTGATTTCTTCAGTGTCTGTATTTGCCTCCTGTGCTCGCCGGTGCTGCGGAGTTCGTGCATTGCATTGAGATTCATCGGATTGAAGCTTGAGTAAGGAGTAGAACAGAGCACTTATGGGTGCCGTGAACCAAATTATCTATACAAAGTGTTTTAATGACCAACTTCCATCTGACACACCCAGGTGACATAGACGAAGACAACTGGGACGACAGGCCGAGGCGACGACTGACCACCTCCAACAGCGGGGCTGAGATCATGCTGGGTCTGGAGACAGACGACGGCAAGAGTGCTGAAGTGGAGATCGACTCGCTGGAGACCGATGAACTACAACCAGAAGGTAGGTGTCTGGTGTTTGTGAGACTAAGCCCCGTGGATGTCGCTCGCAGAGCTGAGGTGGTATAGTTATTTCTGCTTTTATCTGCCCTGTTTGTGAAGTGTGTTTTTCTTTTCCTCTGCTTACTGGCTTTCAACAGTGGTTGGTACGTTGTGATGTGGTTTACGGCTAGGCTGTGATATTTGTGAATTTCAGCTAAATACATAAAATTTAAGCAAATCCTGAATAAGTCGCACTTTACGACATGCTTGTTAGGAAGCAGTGTGTCTGTCAACAACACTATAAGGGAAGTCAAAGAAGAATATGTCAGATGTGCTGTGATAGGAGCGACGTTCTGTAAAGGACTTCTGTGATATGACGAAGGTGATCTAAATTTTCTACTGTTTCATGCTTTTTTCGAATCCCCTCATACATATAAGAGGGGATCGGGGCATTTTCCCAAATCAAGGCACCAGTGAAGGCGCAAGTGAAGATTCTCTGGCATCGCATGGACGGTGCAAAAGAAATCTTAAATGTTGAATAAGGAATCGACAACACAGCACTCGGGACACCTCATAAGCGCTCTGTAACCATCTTCAGCAGCAAGCGAAGAGTTCCAATTCCGATGGTACCAGTAACTGTCTGATTGTATATCCGTCTCGCCTTTCCCCTGAGTGTCGAGCGTCGTCCAGGACCCCTGGTAATTCCTCGCAGCGCCATTCTCCTCAGACCGTAATGATCTATCTCTGCCTCCGCACTGTTCACTCGCTCACAAAATCCAACTTGTCATACATCAGTTCACCACCAAGCGGTGTAGAACCGGCCAGCTTATGTGCCTGCTCATTTCCCAACACACCCGTATCACCTGGAGAAAGTATCTACCCGGGACCTCTGAAGTGCAAAAGGAGAGAGCATCCTATATCGACAGCCCCGCCCCCAGCAGGAGTCTACCGATCATCAGTAGATGCCTCCTTTCAATAAATAATTGGCTTTGGTTTGGCTTGCTTTGCGGGAAAAGAAAAACCGTCACCTTCACCCAGCATCACCGAAGGGGGGAACTTTAGGTTATAATTGTGACTAGGTTACTGTGCCATATAAAATAGCTTAGCATTACTAACCACCAAGTAGCCCTGAAAAGAACTCTTGCAGTTTTGATGCGATTAAAGCAGATAGACCCAAATCTGTCTCCACCAGCGACGAATTTGTCTACTGGCCAGACAATGGGCGACCTGGTTGCCTATGCAATAAATATTTTGACTCGTTTACCACTTAAACCTGGCCGACCCGGGTAATGTCTTCTGGGCTCGGACTACTTTTTCTGCGCTTGTGACAATCAAACAAAACAAGACGTGGTTTTAGCTACTGGTACTGAAGTTATGAGAGACACGCCGTGAAATAGCGGCTAGACGTTCGACAGTGTACGGGAACGTCGTGGGTTCGGATCCTAACGGAACCGAACTTTTTTCAAAAAAAAAAATTATCTTGGCTCCTTGCCCAATATACCTGAGGGCGTGGAAAATAGTTCTTTATTTGAGTAAGATTATGGTGATCGCCGCTAGTGCGTGGTAGCCAGAAACCTGTTCCGAAAGTCAGCGGTGATCAGGAGTAAAACGCCTTTTCAGCGCCATGCCACAGGCCTGGTTCTAAACAGAAAAGTAAGTAAGCAAATTTTACCCCACTAGGACATCACACAGAGCGATAAACACCAGTTGACACCATGAGGATCACTCGAGGAGAGGTCGTGGAAGCCTCGTTCAACCGTCAGGTTATATTATGACCCCCGGCAATAGCCCGAGTGTGACTTTAAAATAACGAAATATTGCATCCCACAAGGGGGCGGATTTTTAAAACAAAAGCGAAAATATCCTAGCAGATTCTTAATCAGGTTGCAACTAGTACTATTGGCATGTTAACTCCTGGTTGGCAACCGATTAAGGAGACGGAGCACGTGTAGGAATCTCCCGTAGTGCAGGAATGTCAATTCTTGATTCAATCATTCATCACAATTTCTTGTAAACGCAGATATCTTTAACTTGATTTTCTGTGTGACGTGGTCCTTTAGACCCCACGTCGCTTGATGCATTCTTGTATGTGGATAAACACTTCCTTCTCTGACATATTGATTGACTGCACACAAATTATGAGAACATATTGCTCCCGCCGCTTGTTTCAGAAAGCTTATTTATTGATTCGCTAAAGTGCAAAAGGAAAATTATTTTTTTCTTTTATGGTCTCTGCTTCTTATAATGTGTGTGTGTAGTTCTCATGTCAAGATAGCTATAGTTTTATTGGTGCTACGTATCTTTCTCGTTCTGTCTTTGGGTAAAGATAAGTCCTCTTTAGTCTTCGCCGTCTAGTTTTGGGTGCAGAGGTGCCATGTCTTACTTAGTAATCTTTCTTTTACCTTTCGTTGTAGAAAGGCCGTATTGTTTAGTATTTCATTTTCCACACTTGGGTCAAGAAAAACCCTACAGTGTTGTTTAATATTTCATCTTCTTCACTTGAGCGTAGAAAGCTCTATTGTTTAGTATTTTATCTTCTACACTTTGATGTAGAAAGGGCCTACAGTATTGTTTAGTATTTCTATCTAATAAACTAAAGTATTTTTAAAAATCTACACTTTGTTACCAGTGCCAAACATGAACATTGACAACAAAAATAACAAACCAAACAACCGAAATGAAATGTCTACGATGAATTCTAAATGCAACTAAACGAGACTGAATCAGAGAAGTCGATATCAGGAAAGAAGTTGGGACGGAACCATTTCTAAACTACATCAAGAGATAACAGATCAAATGGTTTGGAATGTCTCAAAATTGTCTCAAAACTATCAGAAGACAGTGCACCAAAGAGAGCCCTGTCACTTAGACATAATGGAAGCAGATCTAGAGGTCGACCACACAAGCGATGGATAGATGGAGTATCTGAAGCCGTAAATAACTGAATAGAGGCCTCTTTAAAAGCTGGCTCCAAAATGCAGTACAGGACTCGAGAAGAATAAGTGGTTAGCTACTTGGCTGAGGCCCATTTTACCACTTTCTACCACCACAGTATCTGGCAATTTCCTGTGGTTTTTTCTGACTTGTCACTATCAAGACGGTGTCATCAGCATAACGCTGGTTGTTTATATTATGACCAGCAACAACAATTTCTGGTACATCCATGGTAGATTTGTTTATATAAATCTTTTCCAATAATTTTTTTTCCCCCAATAGTTTGATTTTTTCCTCATGTTTCATACTATCAAATGCTTTCGTGTAGTCAACGAAGCATAAGTAAAGATATTTCTTAAAACTGCTAAAGCTCTTTCTGAAAGATTTCTGAGGTTGTCAATCATCATCATGTATCATCATGTAGCAGGTACTTTGCAGAACGTCGCTCTCATCACGGTCTGCCTGAAAGAAACTCGGTTTCTCGTTAGCTTTCCCGCCTCATGAACTGTCATACTCAAGGAGTCACTTATATCCTGTGCTCATCTTCGTGTCGGTCGGTCCCTGCCCCTCCTTCCTGGTACCATGCCTTCTGCTATAATTTCTTCAAATCCATCGTGGCGCTTGATATGACCAAAATATTTCAACTTCCGAGATAGGATATATATGGCATTGTTTATACTTTTTCCTTGTATAAATCCACCCTGTTCTTCACTAATTTCTGGTTTAATCTTGTTTTTCATTCTTCTCATAATTATTCTGAATACATTTTTGTCACATGACTCCCAAGACTTATGGTGCGATGGTCTTCACATTTTAAAGTACCTGGTTTGTTTGGCAGAGCCATAAATATAGATTTTAGTAGGTCATTAGGAATGAACCCACTTTTATAAATATCATTTAACAATGTTGTTATTTCTATTGAAAAATTTCTCAAAGCTTCAATTTCTTCCAACGTAATGTTGTCTGGCCCAAGTCCTTTTTTTTTTTTTCATGTGATGCATTCTCAACTTCTGCAGCAAGTGTCGGTGCTTCTTCACTGTTTTCCTGCAAATATATTTCTGGTCTATCATCGTCATACGTCGGCTCTGTGGCTAAGTCGATGCGAACGCTTCGCTTCGTTATGCCGGGATGCCGGGTTTGATCCCAGCTGCGGGCAATGCGCCTTGCGTTGGTTCGACAGTGGTAACAAGAAAGCCGACCGTCCAGAAACAGTGGCAAACTACTAGACGTAAATTTGCCTGGAAAAACCACATAACAGCCGTGGGCTGTTGGGGTTGGTTCTGCAACGTCCTGTAAAGGATAAGCAACTAACCTTAACCATCGTTATACAGATCCCCGAAGCACTTTGTTCGTCTTTTAATCATGTCACTTTGCCCAACTAAAATTTCACCTTATTTAGATTTTAAACACCCACTAATGTAGCACCCCTTCTTCCCTGTTAAAATACTTATCAGTTGGTGCATGGAATGTGAGTCTTTGGTGCATGGAATGTGAGTCTTTGGTGCATGGAATGTGAGTCTTTGGTGCATGGAATGTGAGTCTTTGGTGCATGGAATGTGAGTCTTTGGTGCATGGAATGTGAGTCTTTGGTGCATGGAATGTGAGTCTTTGGTGCATGGAATGTGATTCTTTGGTGCATGGAATGTGAGTCTTTGGTGCATGGAATGTGAGTCTTTGGTGCATGGAATGTGAGTCTTTGGTGCATGGAATGTGAGTCTTTGGTGCATGGAATGTGAGTCTTTCCCGAGATTTTTCCCAATCTCTGTGCACATCTGGTTTAGCCAGGTTTCTTTAGCCTCGTTGTGTTTGTTCACTATTTCTTTATGAATACTAGACTTTTTTTAATCATCCTTTTCCTTTCTTCTTTCATTCATCCTCTGCAGTATTTTATTGGTCATCTATTGTTTTTTTTTCTTTTTTTTTTTTTTTTTTTTTTTTTAGCGACTCTACGTATCTTTGTGATGTCTGCTAAATTGACTCTCTCAGCATATCCCATTGTTCATCAATAATTTGTATGTTCTCCATGGCATTATATCTGTTTTGCACTGTGACCCTGTACTGTTCCATAATTTCTTTAGTCCGTTTTAA